GAACCATCTATTCCGGGCCCATATAATTTTAGTTTATTTAGGTTATTAGTTTAAATCTTTATATATTGGCTTGATAGCCTTCAAAACAGCAGAGCTGAAGCTTTATAGTCATGTTTAAACGAAGTTACACATTCTGGCGCTTCATGAAACATACACTTATATCTCCGTCAATTTGCATCCGATTAATTAAAACTTTTAGGAAATATTTTCAATATGATATACTTGAAGGAAATGCAAAATCATAAAAATCATTTTTTTTACTTTTATGATTAGGCATAACTCTTTAAGAAGAAGTTCAAGAGATGAAACAATAGTAATCGAACATGTTTCATTTTTTTTTGGGCTAAAGATACGCCAAAACTCAAAAGAGTTCTCAAGATTATGAGGAAAGAGGATTTAAATAATATTACATCAATAATCAAAATAAAAGATGAATGTTTTACACATTAAATCTTTACAATAAAAAAAATAATATATAATAAATCATATAATAATAATTCAGTATATAAGTAGAGACGAATTAAAGTGTCTTTTGGTTATTTCGGTAAGTTTTAGATTTGTTGCGATGAATCGTAGATAGTGTTATAATATAAAAAAATATACTTATAAATTATAATTTAATAATATTATTATAATAATTTAATAATAAAAAATTACAAAATTATATAACTGTATTAAAAATATATATAATACACATAAATAGACACATACATAATTATACAATATGTACATACCCTTTTTCTCGTCTATTTTGTTAGAAAAAGTGAAGTTTGCGATGAAATTATATCATATTCTACTTAATTCTCTACTATAATTGTATATATTCTCTACAATAATTGTATATAATTGCAATATTTATATAATTATATATCTAATTATATAAATTTACAAAGTCACATATACTTCATGCTAAATTAATTGCTAGGCTCAATTAATCGCAGTCTAATTAGCTAGTAGTAAAACAAATTTTCGCGAAAGTAAAAAATGTCGCATATAATAATATTTCCGATTGCGTGATTAAATTTCTATATACAGGGTGGGCCATTTTAAGTGATCCACCCCAATAACTTTTTTATATTTGAATGTACAACAAAATGTTTCAAATAAAAGTTGCTTGACTTCGAGGGGGACAGAAGATGGGTGGCAAAAATTTGACCTTGGATAGTCATTTGAAGGTCACATAAAGATTACCTTCAATTTCTTAAATGGAACCCCCTATTTTTCATTGCATATTCTTATAGCTTATCTCGAGAGCTTTCCAAAACACTATAATTAAGTACCTTTTTATTAAGTACTTTTTGAATTATAAGGCTTGAAATAATTTCTTAATTTTACATAAACCATAAAATATCTAGTAAATCATTCATTTTTCGATTAATAATGAGAGGAATCAATTGGTGTAAAGAAAACATACAGTTGTTTTTAAGAAAAAATATGGAATTGTTAATTGCAAATTACATATTTTTTCTTAGAAACAACTATGTGTTTTCTTTATACCAATTGATTCCTCTCATTATTTTGTACATAAAAGTATCAAGGTAAGATGTATATTTCCTAATTTTCTCTTGATGTTTATCTCGTATGATAGAAAATTTTCGTGCGTTTTTATTTCAATCAGAGATGAGATATCGAGTCTTGTATTATCAGGAGAATAAACAGCGTTATTGTGCAAATAATGCAAAATATGTTATTACAAATTGCAAAGCAATAATTGATAATCATTTTTTCTAATTCCTCTATTTACTAATTTTTGCTCAAATCAAGTTAAAGTCAAAGCTATCAATTATATGTCAAAAACAGAGTGTTATTAGTTGCTGATAAAATGGCAGAAGTATCTATTGAAAATACATGCGAATATGCATTGATAAATGCCTAAAGTCTAATGTCCAAGCCCATTAAATTAGATAAGAATGTTATGTAAACAGTTAATATCTTAGAACTGTTGCATCGACAAACAGAATTATCTTTCATTAATATTACATGCTATATCTTATTATTACTTTTATATATACACATAAATGTTAATCATATCGCTCTAATAATATTTATATAATAATCTGTTTAAAATGTAATCTGTAACATAATGTATGCGCTTCTTATTTGACGCTGCAAGTTCGCAATTTATTTCATATGTACATATATTTACTTTTAGAAATGTCTTATGATTGCATAATCAATAGTGCAATTATATTTCTTCTTCTCTTTTTTCAACTTCAACTTTTTTCAACTAAAAAATTATTACAAATGCAATGATAATTCATTTTAAGATGACACGTAGTGTGTAAATAGAAGTTATACGCAGTAGTATTTTTATCGCTTTCGTGTGTTCTGATTTATTTTCAACAATATATATCTCACTCCGAAAAACTCCCGAATTATCCGTTTCCCTTCACTGTTTATCGAATCATTCATTAATAATGAAATTGATCGGGATTATATATTTGCTGTCGTTTTGTGATCGTCTGAGCCATATATATTGGTTATTCTCTGGGAGCAGCTTGTTTTTACATAATGGCATGAGAACGTCCAAAAATCGCTTGACTGATGCAAATAATGATCAGCTTCGCGTCAGCAGTTTTTGTAAACCACACGCAAAATCTGATACAATACTTGATCCCATTTAGAAATGAGTTTAAGATAATGTAATATAATGATGGTAGTGTTAGAAGATATATAATTTATTATCACGTAATAATTGTCTAAAACAATGTGAAAAAATAACGTATACTTTTATACATGTTTTTATTATGGATAAAGTTTGTAAATGATTATCTAAAAAAAAAATAATATAAACGGCAATAGAAATAAATGTTATAACATATAAAAAATATGAATAATATGACCTATGAATATTATTCATTAAATCGACGTTTCAAATTAATTACTTAAATCTAATAATAGATTCATATGAATACTTGACTTAATGATATCCTCATTTATTACTTAAATTTTTTATATGTTATTGTTTTAATATGTTATTTCTCAATTCATATTCCATCAATAGAATGAAAAAATTTCTGGCGAAATAGACAAAGAGAATTGTCTTACGATGAAATATGAATGAAAAGTGCATTACTTTTTATGAAATTTCCGAAGAAATTAATTCTAAATGTCCAAAAACTTACATCTTTTTTCGTTTTTTATACCGTATATATTCAATTTTCTCTTTTAATTTTAATAAGATCTTTTCGACAAATTAAAATTAAAATTGAAACAACTCTCGGAGCTTTTATAAATTATTTTAATAAATTTAAATAATTAATTAAAATTTATTAATTTATTCCCTCAAAATATGGTTAAATCCCGAACAAGAAAGAATTACAAGTAAATTACTTTATTATTAAGTGACATCATTTTTAATTGCAGATGATGATGCAATTGTCCTTTCACGAATTCTTTCAGAATGATCTTGTTAGATTTCTTTTGAAAAATATCTGCGACCAAAACATTATTGGAGAGTTTTGCATCAATGTGTTGTTTATGATCTTTGGCGATGATCCCGAACAGTTTAATTACGTAAATATATAACTTCACAAATATTTTTATCGAAGTACAACTCCATAACGATCGAAGCTTTGATCATCACGTTTTGAGTCTTTCGATCATGCTTCAAAACTTAACATATAGTATATTTTTTTATATATCTTTATTACTTTCTATTTATTAGACTCTGCCTCGTCATCATCAATCACTTCATGGCTGGCACCTCAATAAGATAATAATATACTTTATTCAAAAAATCGAATCGGGCAAGTTTCGCAAACACGATTACGTCCTCCTACTCATGATTAGGAATTCATCCGTCCTTTTAGAAAAGGATTGGTTCAGTAAAAGTTGGGCTTGTTTGATGACAGCTCTGAACCTGTCGCCACGAAACCAGATGTTCCTATTTTAAAGAATCTTTGATAAGACTTTTATCTGTAGAAAAAGGAACGCCGACAACCAGAATCTCGAGCGTGCCTGGCCAAGTAGCTTTGCCAGACCGTCCATCATTTGATTGCCGTGGATTCCCCGATGATCAGGCACCCAAGCTACGATGATCTTGTTAGATTCATCTAGTTTGTTGAGTGCTAGCATACAGTCCCAAACCACTGAGGACTCAAGGTGATGGTCTTGGCTAAAGCATTGGTGGCTGCTCGGAGCAAATAAGTATATTTCTACACTCAAAAAAATGATCTTGCAACTATAGCAAAAATTTTCTAGGTGCGAAAAATTAACTGAGGCAGATAAACGATTAGCAAATATTGTAATATCGTATATATGTTGCACGTAATCAATCTAAATGACAGAGACAGAATTTATATCTGAACTGTTTGTGAAATTTAGAAAGAAAGTTTTTCTGTGGCGTCTATCCATGTTATGATCAATCCATACTTGTTATAAAGTTTGGCTGTAGTACACAGAAAATACTAGCAAGAACAAATGAATATATAATCCTAAATTTTCTAGCAGATATTGCTAGAATGTTACTGCTATAAATTCTAGCTGTGACAAACGATATTCTATCAGATACAAAAAACAGCGATAAATTTTGGTTGCGACATCTAGAAATCTACCTACATTAGCAAAACATTTTTTTGAGTGTAGTTTTCAGTGGCTTCGACTGAAGTTGAGATATTCACACACTCAAGGATGGCTAAAACTTTGGCTTGAAAGACCGTGGCCAGCTCGATTTTATAGCTAACGGTCAAGATTCTGTCCGAAAGCATATTTTGTGTACAATCGATTAGAGATTCGGGGATGTCATGCCTGCGCATGACCTCTTTGATCACCATGTATGAGATATCTAAAACCACCTCATTATCCAAGAACAGTCTTAAGGCATATATATCTCTCTACCATTGTGTCTCAATATTGCTCGCAAGTTATGATTGTATAATTAATAGTGCAATTATATTTTTTTTTCTCTTTTCTCAATAAAAAATTATTACAAATGCAATGATGATTCATTTTAATATGACACGTAGTGTGTAAATAGCAGTTATTATTATACGCAGTAGCATTTTCATCGCTTTCGTGTTCTGATTTATTTTCAATAATATACATCTCACTCCGAGAAACTGCCGAATTATCCGTTTCCCTTCACTGTTTATCGAATCATTCATTAATAAGATGAAATTGATCGGGATTATATATTTGATCGGATTATTGCTGTCGTTTTATGGTCGCCTTGGTGCGGCTTCAGTGAATGTGACTCCCAAGTTAAACACGTTTATGAAGAGAATTATACGGAGTGCTAGCTGGAATCAGTCAAACACCGAATTCAATCCTGATGTCATTCTCGATACGGTAAATGAAAGTTTATCATTCATAAAAGTTTTTCACTCATAGAAACGAGGGTTAAAGGGTCTTTAATGTTTTGATTAATTTTTTCAATGCTGTTGAAAATGATAAGAAATGATTTGATGCTGCTACTAGTCGTTCTCTTATTTAAAACAAAAATCCCATAAAACTGTAAAGTTATGTATAATTTTTAAAGACATATAGTATTTTTATATATTTTTTTATTTTTTAAGAATCGATTTAATACTTAAATAGAGGTTCTGTTCAATTAACACACTTTCAATTTCTTTTTTTCTATTTTAAAATATATAATAATGTGTGTGTATGTTTTCGTATATGTGAAATTTAAATATATATATATTTAAATATATATATATATATATATATATATATACTCTAATACACACACACACACACACACACACACACACACACACACACACACACACACATATATATATATATATATATACTACTCTTGTTACACTAATAATATTTATTATTTATGTTCGTTTAAATAATTAAGAATAAATATAATTTATGTATGTTATTATAATCGCTAAAAGTAATTATTAATTTTAAATGCAATAATTTAAGAAATGTACATAAAAAATCTAAATTAAATTTTTTAAAATATTTTAAAGTAATTTTTATCAAGCTTTACATCTTATTATATACACTATATACAGAAGCAATTTCTGCAAATTACTCTATAATCACACTTAATTAGAATTAATGCTTATTTGATTTTATTTTAATCTTTATAACTGTTTTTTTTTACTATTATGATTCTATATAAAATCTTCGTATCTTCTAAATATTAAAATATTATATTTATATTATTCGTATTCGACAATGGCCCTATTTATTTGAAAAAAAAATATAATGTGCATTTTTTGTTATTCAAATTTATTTCAATCAATTTAGATCAATTTTTTCGCAACTTTTTTTTCAGCCGCAGATGATAAGAAGAGCGGGTTATCCTGTGGAAGCTCACGTTATAATGACGGATGACGGTTATCTCTTGACGTTACATCGTATCCCAGGTGGTAATGATTCTCTACCTGTGCTACTGCAGCACGGTCTTTTAAGCAGCTCTGTTGACTGGATTATTCTTGGCAAAGACAAAGCAATCGGTATGGACGTTTAATAAATTTTTAAAATCACATGTGTATCGCAAAACTATATCGTTAATTTCGTTTCTAAAAATGTCATCAAATTTGGAAATAAATGTCATATGTATAATATAATATTATAAGTATTATATAATATTATATGTAATATATGTAATATATTATATAATATTATATAATATGATATTGTAAATGGGGAAATAATGTGATGAATAGTGTAAGTAATGTCTTCTCTTTTGGATTTTAGCTTATCTATTAGCAGATCAGGGATATGATGTTTGGTTGGGCAATTTTCGTGGCAATACTTATTCGAGGGCACATATTTCCCTATCTCCGTCGAATTCGACATTTTGGAATTTTAGGTACTAGCATAGGAATAATGGTATTATAAGATAATAATGATAAGATAATAATAATTGTTACAATATTTTAATTTGACATAACACGCAAGGGATTGTTTTAAATTTATATATACTTACTTATTTTTTTCGAAAATGCATCATTAAAGATATTTTACTAATAGTATATTTTATATTTTATTGTGCCAATATTTTTTTTTTATCATTGATGTAAATAATTCTTGGTTCAAAATTTCAGTTTCTGCTCCTATGGAACACTTTACATATTATATACATATGTATATAATATATTAATTTTCTTTGTGTGTGTATGTGTGATCGTGTACATATATATATTTTATGATATATCGATTGAATTTTTTATTAGCTTTAACAAAATGGGCATCTATGATTTACCCGCGATGATTACATTTATCACGAATATGAGATCCCAACCATTGCACACATATATTGGTCATTCGATGGGCATAACTAGTTTTTTTATAATGGCATCAGAGCGTCCGAAAATCGCTCGAATGGTGCAAATGATGATCTGCTTCGCGCCAGGAGTTTTTTTAAACCACATCCAAAGTCCGATACAATACTTGATCCCATTTAAAAGGAATTTTGAGGTAAAATAGTATAACAGTGGTACTGTTAAAAAATATATAATTTATTATTACGTAATAACTGTCTAAAACAATGTGAAAAAATAAAGTACATTTTTACACTCTTTTGTTGGATAAAGTTTGTAAATGATTATCTAAAAAAGAACAATATAAACGGCATTAGAAATAAATGTTATAACATATAAAAAATATGAATAATATGATCTATGAATATTATTAATTAAATCGACGTTTCGAATTAATTACTTAAATCTAATAATAGATTTATATAAATACTTGATTTAATATCCTCATTTATTACTTAAATTTTTTACGTTATTGATTTAATATATTATTTCTCAATTTATATTCCATCAATGAACAAAATTCTGGAAAAATAGACAAAGAGGATTGTCTTACAATGAAATATAAATAAAAAATGCAGTACATTATTTTTTACAAAATTTCCGAAGAAATAAATTCTAAATGTCCAAAAACTTACATCTTTTTTCGTTTTTTATACCGTATATATTCAATTTTCTATTTCAATTTTAATAAGAATTTTTCGACGAATTAAAATTAAAATTGAAACAACTCTCGGAGCTTTTGTAAATTATTTTAATAAATCTAAAAAGTTAGTTAAAAATTTATTAATTTATTCTTCCAAAATATGGTTAATCCCAGAACAAGAAAGAATTACAAGTAAATTACTTTATTATTAAATGACAACATTTTTAATTGCAGATGGTGATGCGGTTGTCCTATCACGATGAATTCCTTCCGAATGATCTTGTTAGATTTCTTTTGAAAAATATCTGCGATCAAAACATTACCGGAGAGTTTTGCATCAACGTGTTGTTTATGATCTATGGTGATGATCCCGAACAGTTTAATTACGTAAATATATAATTTCATGAATATCTCTGTCGAAGTACAACTCCATGACAATCGAAGCTTTGATCATGTTTTGTGTCGTTCGATCATGCTTCGAATCTTAACATATATTATATCTTCTTATATATTTTTATTATTTTCCATTTATTGTTAGAACCTGCAGCTTGTCATCTACAGTCATTTGGGTAGCATTTCGACTAAGACAATAATACACTTCGTCCAAGAAGTCGAATCGGGCAAATTTTGCAAATATGATTACGGTCGCGAGGAAAATCTGTTGATTTATAATTCGGTGGAACCACCAGATTATGATTTATCGAATATCACGATACCAATTGCATTGTTTTACGCCAATAATGACTGGTTAGTCAACAAAAAGGTAAGTAATGGAAAATTAGGTATTTATTTAAATAATGAAAATATATGGTAAAGAATCACTTGACTTGTATATAAATCAAATTTTAAATTACCTAATTGAGAAAGTGATTTAAATAAGATCTTAGATATAAGAGAGAAGTGTACGATAATTTACGAAAATATTTCTTCAAGAATGTGAAAAAGTTGTACCATTTACTGCCAAATGTAATAGACATGTACGAAGTACCATGGCCCAAATTTAATCACGCAGACTTTGTGTGGGCCAAGAATGCGCCAAAACTCGTGTACGATAGGGTTTTTAAAATCATGAGAGGAGAAAGTCTAAATAACGTCACATGAGTGAAATAATATTTTCAATGATCAAAATTAAAGATAAATATTATAAGTTAAACTTTTTAGTCATAATGGATACGATTGTAGTATGTTAGTTATGTTAATTAAAATAATGAAACGTAAATTTATAATATTTTAGTATTATTTACAATTATAGTGCATAATATAAATGTATCCGAAAATGTTTATTAAAAAGTTATAAGCGTTTAAAAGATTTGGAGGTAAAATTATTTTTATAACTTGTAGATGGAATAATTAATTTTTGGAGACATTTAAATTTTCCCTAGTTATTTTTAACATATCTTCATATATATATATGTATATTGTAGTTTTTAGACCTTATATGTTATGATTTTTCTCAGGCGTTCAATATTATTATTCATTTATGTTCAACGTTATATTCTGGTGCTCGAGTTATTTGATTTTATTTTTGCGATTACAATGACACATTTTTTAAGTTATGAGATATGCATAATATGTCAGCGATTTCTTCCCTATATATAATCCATCCGTTTCTAATAAAAATAATTAGAAAAATATCTTTTTCATTTTTTTTTAATTTCTAGCTAAACAATAAAATATTTTACCTATAAATTTATATACTGTATATAATTATAATTATAATAATTTATCATATATGATAACTTTATGTTATTTACGACTATTTTTATTAGCTATAAAAGTAAAAAAAAACGCTATAATTTCGGCAATTTATCTTTTATATATTTATCGAAATATTTTATAATTTTATTACTTTTTTCTTTTACCTTTATAGCTGATAAAAAATAGTCATAAATAACATAAAGATTTATTGTAATAAGTAACTATTATGCACAGTCGTATTTATGTCTGTTTGGCTTTTATGTTTATTTCTTTTATTGCATATTTTTTACATTGTTCATTTTTTTATTTTTCATTGAATCGCTTTATCGATGAGGTCAGGATTGTGTATACGTCATCTTGATTCAACGCCGAAGAATGTTATTTATTACATTCGAGCTAATGAGAGAATATCTTGAACTAACTGAATTTGATCCCGAACAACATTGAAATTCCATTATAAACAGTAAACATGTATCCTTAGCTCATTGAAAGAGAATAAAAATTTTTATTTCTATTCTTTAACATATGTATAATGCTGCTGAAAAATGTTTGAAAACGATCTCATGCCACTTTTTAAAAACTGAAATTTAAGCAAAAAGTTAAATGAATTTTATATAATTCTTAAACCGATTTTTTTGCGATTTATCACATGTACGCATATTGCTTTACTTGTGCATAACGATAGTAATAACACGAATCATTCGAACTTGGCCTAATAATAATATAATAACAAAATATAAAATTATATAATTATAAAAATATAATTATAATAATATAATAATTAAATTAATAAAATAATAAAAAAATAATAAATGTAATTAATAAATGCAATTTAATAAATATAAAATGTAATATAATAAATATTTAATAAATATAATAATAATAAATTTGATATAATATTATAATAATAAAATATTATATTATATAAAATTATATGTTATATTATATAAAATAATGTATTATATTATATAATAAAATAAAATTATATATATATATATATATATATATATATGTATATGTATGTATATTAATATATTAATATATGTGTATATTATTAATATATATAGTTTTATAAAGTACATATATCTTTATATATCTACTCGTATATATAGTTTTATAAAGTACATATATCTTTATGTTTTCTCAACATTTTTTGTGATTATCTGCGAAAATCTATCTCGATCATTGTTATTTTTCATTTGCATTTTTAATAAATATTTATGATCGTCTCACTTCTTACTAATTATAATAAAAAAAAGAGAATTCCAGTTATTTTCCGCATATACAACGAAGATGAAGAAAATACATGTAGAAAAAGTGAAGTTCATATGAAGAAAAGATCAGTATTATTTTTTGTATATTCCACATGTGTATTATCTATATAATCTACACTGTAGCACAAGTATCATGCAACACGATATATCCACTAGATATGAGGATCAGTAAATATAAACGGGTAGGAGAAAGTGGAGATTGCAGCGATATCGAGGGAAATTGGAGAGAAAGTAGACGACCAATTACAAGGCGGATTTAAGAAAAACTTTGAATATTTATTGATAAATGCATCTAATGCCATTTAGATAGAAATTGTATGTAAGATTACTATCTTAGATTCCACGTGCGATTCACATTGTACAATAGAAACCATTTATGCATAGAATTATTATCGTGAGACTAATGAAAGCCAATAATCATTGTTGATGATTGAAGATGTGTAAAAAATATTGCCGGAAGGTAATTTACTAAAGGAAAAAAAAATGCATTGATATACGTCTTGTTAGAAGCCACTTGTATTGGATTACAAATAAAAATCCGATAATAAGTATAAACTATTCATATTTGAATTTTACAATAATACTTTTCACTGAATTAATTTCATGAATGTGTTTGTCGACTGTAATATTTATAAAGAACTATAAATGCGTCTTATTTCCTTTAATAATAAGGAAACTTTCACATACTGATATAATACACATATATAGGGTGTCCCAGATCATCCGTATACTCCTTTTAAAATGAAAATAAATGGCTTTTATAAAAAATCGCGAATAATTTTTAAGTAAATCGGATACGCTCTATCAAATAATGATATTTTTAACTTTTGATTCCGACCGGAAATAGGCCATCCGGATCGGAAGTTGAATTTTTTTAGGGGAACATGATACTTCTTATTACAGATTCGAATTGTACGTAAAAAAATAAGAAACTTTTGTATCAAACGTTTTTTCTAACAGTGCCTCTGTCAATCTTAAAATTGAAGTTTATTATTTCATCACAGTTACTTTCAAAGTCAATTTTAAGATTAACAGAGGCACTTTCAGAAAAAACGTTTGATACAAAAGTTTCTTATTTCTTCACGTACAATTCGAATCTGTAATAAAAAGTACCAGTTTCCCTAAAAAAGTTCAACTTCCGGATGGCGTATTTCCGGTCGGAATCAAACGTTGCAAATATCACCATTTGATAGAACGTACCTTAAATTTACTTAAAAATTGTTCGCGATTTTTTATGAAAGTCATTATTTTCATTTTAAAAAGGGTGTACGCGTGGAACACCTTGTATATACATGAAGATTTCTTTTTACAAAATTTCCTAAATTTTCAAAAAATTGATTCTATAAATATAGAAATCTTTTATTTTTATATTGTTTAATTCTACCGTACACGTTCATTTATATATCACTTTAATTTTAACGAGAAATTTCATTACGAATTGATTAAGAAGAATCACTGAAAACATTCAAAAATTATTTTAATTTAATAAGACAAAAATGTCTAAAATTTATTTATTTATTTATTTTCATTATTACCGCTAAAACTTAAAGAAAAAAAATTACAAATAAATTATTATTGAAAAATCTTCAATTTCATAATAATGCAATTTTTTTTTACGAATTCCTGCAAAACTATTTTGTAATATTTTCTTTTAATACAGTTGACCAGAATATCTGTACGTGATATTTACGATATTTGGTTACAACTGCCACGAATTAACGTGAACAATAATTTTGCGAATAAACACGATCGAATTCCAATTCCGTGACGATAACACTTGGATTATCATATTACGATTCACGTGATCAGAGCTTTGTGTACATATCTTTATTGTTTTCTATTTATTGTTAGACTCTGTTATCCGTCATGAATTTTTGCGGAGCAGAGGATTTTATGAAATCTCTTGCGAAATACGAATTTATAAAAATCAGTTTCGGCTGCATGCAATTTAGTTACATAATGAAATGCGACAAATGTTTCGATCGAAGTGGCTCGAAACAGATGTATCACGAAATTTTGATCGAAAGCTTTTTTGTAAAGTTGAAGAATTTGCACGAACAGACTTTAAATCGTTTCTACTCGTTATTAATATATTCTTAATTATATATTCTTAATTATTCTTAATTTATATATTCTTAATTCTGCAGTTTGACATTTTGAGTCGTAATCTCGAGGACATATTCATTGATCTTGGTGCGCAATATTTAGAAAGTCAAGTTTACCGTGAAGGTTTTGCATATTAATAATAAATTATAATAATCAAAATAATAATAATATATAACAATAAATTACAATAATTAATAATATATTCCAATCGTGCGGGAAATGTAATAATTTATAATTTGGTGGAGCATTGGAAACTCAAGGAAGTATTTTTTCAAAAATGCGAAGAAACCCTATATGTGTATTGGATATATGCAGGGTGATTCATTTTAATCTTAACAGACAAATATTTTGAAAAATATGTGAGATACGAAAAAATGTTTAGACAAAAGTTATATGGTTTAAAAGGAGACATATGATGGTGTCATTAATTTGACCATAAATAGTTACTTGAAGATCACGTGAAAGTCATCCTCAATTTTTTAAATAGAACTGCCTATTCTTTATTACATATTCTTATAGCTTATCTCAAGTGCTTCCCAAAACACTATAATTAAATTAGTTTTTGTTAAGTACTTTCCGAGTTATGAGGCTTAAAATTGTTTCTTAATTTTACATAAACCGTAAAATATCTTGTAAAATATTCATTTTTCGATTATCTTAATACTTTTATGTACAAAATAGTGAGAGGAATTGATTGGTATAATAATCGCGGTGTTCGCTTTAGAAAGTTGCAGTGTAACGATACGAGTGCGCAGCTATCGCTTAAATATTACATAGTAAATGTCGAAGGTGGGCAAAACCTAGCATGATGCACCGATGCGTGTCGATATGGAATGGGAAAATTAGTGCGAGTACAAGTACGATCGAAAGAGAGAGATTCAATGTTGATTTCGTCTTCGATGCTAATATGAAGCCAATAGCCAGTGCGTATTCGCGAGTGTACTGTATGTCAGTGTGCGACAACATTTCTAAGGAATGTTTATTTACTTTAATTCCACCTTAATTTAATTCGAAATTCAGTTAACATTTTCAAAAACGCAATCGTACGATCCGTTACAATTAATAAGCAAAATAGTGACCATAAGACAAATTCATTTCGTCTGCAAATCTAATAAATAATATTAAATTAGTGAGATATTATTGACAATTGAATTAAAATGAAAGATAAATATTGTGCTAAATTTTTAGCAATTGCTGTGATCGATCGCATAATTGTTAATTCAATGATAAATTATATTTTAATATTATTTATAGTTAGTAATATTTTCATATTAATTAGTGATTAGTGCAAATTTGAATGGTACATGTTGGATTAAAAAATTGATTGAAATTTGTATACACGTCACTCTCGCACAATTATTTCGCATATTTATTTTCTTTATGATACACACATAATATAATATGTATTCCTATACATTGGGACATTTGCACATCGTTCATTTTTTCTTATTATTTATTCAAGCACTCATTAATGGTGTGAAATTAATCGGGATCGTGTATTTGGCGTTGTTTTGTGGTTATCATCTTGATTGTACACTGGTAGATGTGAATCAACTCGAGCCAAGTGCATTCATGGAGAGAATATCTTGGATTAATTGGATTTGGCCGAAAAATATCAAAGTCAATCGCGACCTAGTTTTCGATACGGTAAGTGTGTCTTTATAACTCATTGAAATGAGGATTAAAATTTTTACTTTAAACAGCTTTCTTCAACGTTGTCAAATATAATTGGAAACGATCTTATCGCTGCCCTTTTAGTGAAAATTTGAATTTAAATTTCACATAATATATGTCGTTAATTAAGCCTAATAATATTTAAATCTTTTTTTACTTTTGAAGACTGTTTTAATATTCAATTGTTAGCATCGTTTAATTATTATGAAATTTTTTTGTTTTAAAAATATGCAGAAATATGTGAAATATTAAATAAATGTATGAGCATATGGAAGTCATGCTTGCCCATAAACACACACACACACACACACACACACACACACACACACACACGCACACACACGCACACACACACAAAGAAAAGTTCCTGAAATTAATCTATTTAGTTTTAAATGCATATAGATACACAAAGAAAGTAAAATATCTTGTAACAGAAGACATTTATTAGAATTGAAACAAACAAGTCTTATTCGATGATGAATACGTAAAAAGATGTTACATAATTGCATATAAAAACTGTTAAGTCCTTTGATCTTTAAGGGGGGGGTATGCTAATTTCGATGGAAAAAAGGCATGTTTTTACGAATTTTTTTTGGCGAAACAGATAATGTTACTTTATTTATTCAATTTCCATGTAATAATACAACATTTGAAGAGTAACTTGCTAAATTTTCATCGAAAAATATCGAAAAATACGCGAGTGACAACGAATTTCCGAAGGCGCTCCTAAAAAAAGTGGTTTGGCGGTGATCATCATAACTCGTAGTAGAATCATCTGAAACCAAAAAATAAAAATGCATTCGTTAAAGGAAATGTTTTTCGAGGTAACGCTGGGGGGAATTTTTTTTTTTTTGATTTTTTAATTTTTAGTGGCACTTTGAAGCCAAAATTCTGATTTTTGGTGCAAAAAATCGAGTTATTTGTTTTTGTAAAATTAACAATTTTTAACAAATCAAAAAAAGCTCCCAGGAATACCTGGTAAATGTTGTTACGAAGCAGTGTGCCAAGTTTTAGAACGATTGATCGAGTAGATTTTGAGTTATCGTGATCACGGACTTCGGAAAAGGCAAGTTCGAGAAAAACACTTTAAACTTTTGCACACTAAAAATCCCGAAATAAAAGTCGATAGTTCTTTTATACTCACACAGAATCGTCGATACCAGGTCCATACAGCAAGGCGCTTTCATCCAGAAGATCCAGAGCATCTTTTTGTGTTTGTCTCCGCGAAACTCTCCCTTCTTTACTGTCGTGAGCCGCCTTCTCGCCTCCTCTAGTAATTCGCAAATCGTCAACTTGTCGCGCCCATTCATGAGAACTAGGGCCTGTACCGATGTGCATCTCTTCCATGAAGGCCAACAGGGCAATAGAACCTTCATTAAAAGTGCAAGCAGCCACATTAGCTGCAATTTGTACGGTTGTAGAGGTTCCACTGTATGCCTTTGGAGAGATTTTCCATATTAGCTGATTGAGGCTTTCGTTATTGTTTTGTGTAAAACCTCCAAGACATCGCTGCAACAGTGCGTCCCTGCTCAAGTCCTCATAAATGGGCATCATGGCTTCCAGAACTTTATAGCTTCTATTTCAATAGCGGGACGATTTTTAATTTTTTTCGACGACGAGCTGCCAGCTGTTACTTCATCGTTTTTACGCTTTTGTGGCGGTATTATTTTTTTTGCTCGGTTCAAATACTTTTTGCCGTATTTACGATCATCTCTAGTCACTTTTCGAGGCATCTTTAATAATAACAAATACACTCAGTAACAGTTCAAACACAAACACAGTTCAAAATGCCCGAAAATTCAACGAACTCGAACGATAACAGTCAAATTTTTCGACTCACTTTCTACCGTTCAACACGACATACAGCGAGCAACTGATGTATATACCATGTTTTCAATGCTCACAAGGCTACCTGAAATTGCTTTCAGCAATAAAGGAATTTAGGGATTAGGAATGAATACAATAGAGTGCCACGTCAACGCGCCGCACACCGGTCGAGCGGGTAGAGAAATACGGCTCGGAACAACGGTCCTTCAAGCGTTCATAACTTCTTTACTTTTGCTCCGATCGACTTGAAATTTTGACTGAATATTCTTGAGATGTTGCGCATTCATTTAAAAAAATAAAAAAAAAATGCCAAAAAAAAATTTTAAATAGCATACCCCCCCCTTAAGATATTGATTTATTCAGAAGGTAAAGAGTTATCCTGATGTATGCGCATATTAATTGCGACAGACTTCTGCAAATTCTTCGCTTCTAAATGTTTTATACACACACATATAATATCCTTATATTTACTTATCTTTATTAAAATAATTTATAAAATAATTATAAAATAATAATTATAAAATGTATTTTTCCTCCTTAAAATATGTTGGTTCAGTTATCAATAGTCGGTTACATATTATAGTTTTTATACTCTTAATTTTAATCGCGCTACTTTTTGTCAGTTTTATATCTAATTTTATTTTTTATGCATTTTGTATCTAATTTTATTACTGTATATATCGAGTGAATTATTATACTGTACTGTCATCTCGATATCAGCATGAACTATGACACGAACTATTGGAACGAATGTTCATTGGTTTTTAATTTTTATTTCCGGTTCAAGATCAACCATAAACATATCCTGTTGATGATAATTATTGATTTGAAGTAATGTTTGCTTAATAATATACATGTCTTTTTCACAAGAATGTAGAACAATTCGTTATCGACATATTACGTTTAATTTTTAAAGTTTTTGAATATACAATAATGTTTTAATTGCGTTCGATTTATGCGTTGATGAGATCTAAAAAAGATTAAAACTTTCGCCTTTTGATTATCATTGATTTAATAAATATGTTGCGCTCTGGCCTTTTAATTGCTTTATTTTCTCATTAGAAATGTTGTTTGTTGACCTCTTAATTGCTTTATTTTATTATTAAAATTTTTCATTTTAATTGCAATGGTACAAAAATGATCTATAAATAACAATATAATCTTTTACAGCTTCCTTTTACAATAGTTTTTTATTGAGATTTCTAATCTATCACACAAAAAGTCTTCCTATAACTTGTACCATATAATTATACATTTAATTAGATTAATATTTATTTCATTTTGTTCTGTATCTCATGCGTATTTACTTTTGTTATTATGATATATAATTATACTTTATATTAATTATATATTGATATTTTATATTTATGTTATTATTTTAAAAATGTCTTTCATTTCAAAAATAAATATTATAATCACTTTATCGTAAATGTATTGTAACATTAGATCAACTTCACTAACTCTGTGTTTACTGATTCTTTTTTTCAGTCGGAAATGATAAGGAAAGCGGGTTATCCCGTGGAAAGTCATGTTACAACGACCGAGGATGGATATCTCTTAACATTACATCGTATCCCAGGTGATAATGGCTCTCTACCTGTACTATTGCAACACGGTTTTTTTTGCACATCCGCTGTTTGGGTTATTCTTGGTAAAGGGAAAGGATTAGGTAACGATCTTTTAATTAATCCTTATATATAAGAGATCATATTGTTGACTTTTAACGAAAAGCTGGAAGAAGAAGTTTAAGAGAAACTCCCGAATTTAAATATCGAAAAAAATTTGCTAATGTACTCTAATTATAATACTTTTAATGTATTTTATTTTTTGAAAATTTTTAAATTTATTTTTAAATTTTTTAATATATTAAATTAGATTTTATACACATATATATATATATTTATTTATTTATATACTCATATTTTATATAATTACATATGTTATATATTTACAATTTTTTATTTAACTTATCAGATAATAATTAGTAAATTACACATCAATTCGATCTTAATCTATTATTGAAAAAATATTAGCATATAAAGATATCGTACAATATACATGACAATATTATATAAGAAGATAAAAATGTTAACAAATATTACAAGATATTTTGCATTCTAGCTTACGTATTAGCGGATCACGGATATGATGTTTGGTTGGGTAATTTTCGTGGTAATACTTACTCCAGGGCGCATATTTCCCTATCTCCGTCGAACTCGACATTTTGGGATTTCAGGTATTCGCATAAAATAAAAATAATTTGGAAAATCATATAATGATAATTATTTAATTTGGCATCAAACACAAAGATCTGATGAATTTATATATACCGTGGCCCATTTTAATCGACGCACCTGAATATCTCGTAAAGTTCAAAAGATACGAAAAAATGTTTCAGACAAAAGTTGTATGATTTCAAGGGGGACATAAGATGGTGTCATTAGTTTGATCTTGAAGAGCCACCTGAAGGACACGCGAAGGTCAGCTCCAACTTTTTAAATGGGACACCCTATATGCTTTTGCAGCTCATATTCTTGTAGCTCATCTCAAGAGCTTTCCAAAACACTATAATTAAGTTAGTTTTCATCAAGTACTTTCCAAGTTATGAGGCTTGAAATCATTTTTTAATTTTACATAAACCGTAAAATATCTTGTAAAATATTCATTTTTCGATTATCTTACCTTAATACTTTTATGTACAAAATAATGAGAAGAATCAATTGGTGTAAAGAAAACTCATAGTTGTTTTGAAAAAAAAAATGTAATTTGCAATTAACAATTACATATTTTTTCTTAAAAATAACTATGTCTTTTCTTTACACCAATTGATTCCTCTCATTATTTTGTACATAAAAGTATTAAGGTAAAATAATCGAAAAATGAATATTTTACAAGATATTTTACGGTTTATGTAAAATTAAAAAATGATTTCAAGCTTCATAACTTGGAAAGTACTTGATGAAAACTAACTTAATTATAGTGTTTTGGAAAGCTCTTGAGATGAGCTACAAGAATATGCAAAAGCATATAGGGTGTCCCATTTAAAAAGTTGGAGCTGACCTTCGCGTGTCCTTCAGGTGGCTCTTCAAGATCAAACTAATGACACCATCTTATGTCCCCCTTGAAACCATACAACTTTTGTTTGAAACATTTTTTCTTATCTTTTGAACTTTACGAGATATTCAGGTGCGTCGATTAAAATGGGCCACGGTGTATATTCAATTATATATTTTATATACTTGTATATCTGTGTGCAGTTATTTTAGATTGCATTACTCTAGAAATAATCTCTACATAGTACATTATAAACATACAAAGTATAAATAGAGTACAGATATATAAATTATTTTTTTTTAATAGAATACGTATTTCTTTCAAAAGAAAGTAAATGAAAATTGATCATTTCTTCAATGCCTTATTTTTTAATATATCAATATTATAAGTTTTTAATAGATTAATGTATTAATTTTGCATTTCTTGGACTTTTATGTTCAAAAAGTTTCGATAATTTTCTTATAACTAATTTTAATATTTATTTAATTAATAGAATTATTAGAATTTTTATATCACGTTTAAATAGAAAATAAAAAATCCTAATAAAATCAGAGAACTCACTATATATTGGCATATAAAAAATAAGTAAGTCTCGAAATAGTTGTATTTTTTGGAAATTTTGCCAAAAAAAATGTTTACCTTTAGATGGAAAATTTAAAAATACCAGAGCCTGTAGTTTATTTGCAACGCGTGTCATATTATATAAATATATACATTATATTACATATATATGAGCATATATTTTTATTATATACTATGCTATACTATATATTATACTATATTTAATACATATTTACATATTTTATGACTGTATATTGAATTTTTGATTAGCCTTAACGAATTGGGCATCTACGATTTACCTGCAATGATTACATATATTACAAATATGAAATCGCAGCCATTGCATACCTTTATTGGTCATTCGATGGGCGCAACTTGTTCCTACATTATGGCAGCGGAGCGTCCGGAAATTGCTCGAATGGTAAAAGCAATGATCAGCCTCGCACCAACAGTTTTTGTAAACTATATAACAAGTCCGATACAATATTTGGTTTTCTTGAAAGATTACAAGGTAAAGTAAGACACTATTGATTAATTAAAATAATTTATTACTATGCAATAACTATATAAAATAATATATTTTTGGCAAATGAAAAAAAAAGGAATTATTTTACATCTCGTTTTTACACACTAATGCAATACACACTATAAACGATATATTTTAAAGTGAAAAAATAGCGGGACATAAATAATTCTTTAATCAGATGCAAAAGTAGTCAAAGAATACAAATTACATTTTTAAATAATATTATAGTGTGAATGGAATTTATTTTAATATAAATTTATTTTAATATTTAATTCGTGATTAATTAAAATCATATGTTAAAAAATTTAACACACAATTTTCTCTGTCATTAAAAATAATACGTGAACTATACTACATTCTATATACATTGTATATTTAAGAAAGATTTAAGAAAGTTATTTTATAAAATGTGCATTTGATTATTTGAATAAAATTTAGAAGATATCTATATTCGATTTTTCCGAAAAAATGCAGAAAAGATCAAATGTAAATATCTTCTTAGCACTTTATATCTTGTTTCTGAATGCCATAATTGTAATTTTTAATTTTAACGAGAAATTTTTCGATGATTTAAAATTATAATTAAAGAAACTTTTATAAATTATTTCAATTTTATAAAAGAAAATGCTTAAAAATTTATTCATTTATTTTTTATTATTACCGTCAAAATCTGAAGAAAAACAAAATTACAAGTAAATTATCATTAAGAAATCTTCTATTTTAGATGATAATGCGATTTTTTTTTCACGAATTTCTGCTAAGCAATTTCGTAAGGTCTTTTTTAACATTTGGCTGCGATCAGAACATCATCAAAGATATCTGCTCCGACGTGATGTTTATAATCTGGGGCTACGATCGCGAGCAGTTTAATTATGTGAGTAATAATTTCGCGAATGTATGTATGCCATTCAAAGTACAGCTTTATATCATGATCGAAGCTTTGATCATCATGTTCGATCAGCGCTATCACACTTTTTAGATTAGATTTGTATATATGTTTTATATTAGTTTTATTTATTAGCTTTCGTCTGCTTTTTATAGCTTCTGC